TCCACCTGGAACATGAAGGACTTTATGATTTGATAAGAAATCATTTACGCTGAAAAACAAACAAATTAAAGATTTTCATGACTTGTGTGGTACAGATGGGAAGTGGCAAAAAATTGTTAGCAAGCATTGAAATGATGGTTGAAGAGAATGGGAAGATTACATACATATCTGTTGGATGACTAGTCAAGACAATGCAGTCTTCTGGATTTAGTTTGTGCCTGTCAAAATTTTGTCAAATAAAATTTAACAATAACTAAACATGAAACATGAAAAAACTAATAAAAATTCTATGTAGAACAAGTTATAAATTTTTTAAAATTCTCTTTACATTTATTTATAATAATATTATTATTATGGCAATCTCACTTTTGTAGAAATTCTGGTTTGACTTCTCCAATCAAATCTAAAAGTGGGTTGCCAATGGCAAATAAAACGCCTTCGCTAGAAAAAGAAATAATAATTTGACCAATTCATATTGCTAACATAACCAAAAAACCAATAAATAATAAACACAATGTAATAAAAGTATAATAAAATTTAAATAAATAGCCTCACAATTTTTGCATTTTTCAGAAAATATAAAACAATAGTTGAATAAAAAATATGACTAATAAAATAATTTGTATTTGATCATAAAATAGATAGCCTCAATCAAATGTAGCCAACTTATAAATAAAAATAATACTGTGCATGAATTAATTATTTCTTATTCTTGCTTACGGCTTTCAACAGCTGTTATTATTGATTAAATTAACTGAACATAAGCATTTATTGAATTCACATTCTTCAGTCCTTCATTCTTCTTACATTTTCATTATTATCATTATTATCAATAGCTTATTAAAGCCTTAAGCTTAAGCATATAGCAATATAAAATCCTTTAGTTACCTGGGTAGTTTGTTGTAAAAAATTAATGCTATTTTTAAATTTTTGTGAAAACAATGTTTGGTTGCTAAAATAAATAATACAACAAAAATCAATTGCAAGACAGAAATGCTTTGAAAGGCTTTAAATACATACAAGTAGTAAATAAAATTTTTTAGAATGTTTTATTTCAAATCAAACACTAGAAATAAATTCTAACACATGTCCTCCCATGACGTGATCCTCCCCACCAATGGAACAGTTCTTGCGACAGTTAAAACTTAAAATGTCAACCACGTTGGCCTTTGAATCCAGATCGTCATAATTATTATTAATGTTGTCCTGCACAGCCATCTCATTACTATTCAACAGCCTGCTATTGTTGTTGTTGTTGTTTGAGCGATTCATGTTTGTTTTTCTTCTTATTTAATTTAAAAGCTAGCAATGAGAACTTATCTTAAGTACGCCTTAGGCTTCACAAATTATATAAAATAAATTATATATTATATGACATATGTTGTTTGATGAGATAACATATATAAAAAATATGTATATATATTATATATGAATAATATGTAAGTTTATATAATATTACATATTATAATTTTTTGAACTGTGTATGTATGTATGTATCTATTTGTAACAGTTTTATTTTTATCGTATGTGTGGTGGAGCCGTCGTCTTAAAATAAATTCTACTACGACGTTGAAAACGTGCGTGCCACTACTGCACTATTTAATATTTATTAGTCCAGGTTCATTGATCGGAAATCATAGAAGTGCGGATGCAGATGATGAGGACGGCGAACGGACGAGGATCTTTGTTGGAAAATCTATTTTTTTGTTGTTTTGTTTACTTTTTATTTTTTGAGTTCTAGATGAACTTGGTAACAAAAAATAGTCTTCCAGCGTCATGAAGGTACCTTTTTGAACCAGCATCATATGGCGAGAGTAGCAGGCATTCAATACAAACGAGTTTTTATGAATTCAAGGATACTTGTCCATTCATCAAACAAACGGTTGACCAATTGAGAAAACGTCATACCATTGAATTACATACAATTCCGTCCTTAAAATGGTATCAATCTCGGATTAATGTTTGTGATTTGGGCGTTTGAATGATGTAATTACGGATTATGGCGAAACGTTGCAAAACAATGAAAAAATTTTATAAAAAATTTATTTTACAATTTCAACAAAGATGTTACAGCATCTTTGGTCGCATTCATTTATTCGTTTATAAGCCTGTATAAAATTCGGCTCCGGGCTCTAATCATTTTCCAAGCTAAGCGATTTTAACAGTTACACTTTTCTTTCTTTTTCTGCTTCCGAGAAGTCCTTCTGTTTTTCTTAACTTAACCTAAATGCTGCAATAATTTGGGAGGTAGGCTGTTTAAAATGTTTAGCATTTAAGACTTTTCGTTACCAATAGTAGGCTATGAATCTCTAAGCATGGTTATTCATTGTCTTCGTTGCTCCGTCAAAAATCTCATATCTTCAACGCTTTTCTTTCCACTTATTTTATGAAAATCTTGTGAACTAAGTTTGCCGTGAAAACATAGCTCTAAAAAAAGAAAAGATAGGTTTAAGTTTAAAAAAAGAACCATAAAACTGCTGAGCGAGAGAAAAGCGAGAATGGGAGGAAAACATCGATCAGTAAATTAAATGCTAAATGCATAAAAAAAACCAAAACTCTGCTAAAATATAGAAAGCATATTAAAACGTTTATTACAAAATTATTGTGTAACTTAGACGAAGAATATCGAGAGACAGAAGCGAAAAGAGAACAGACGGGTAGCTGAATTGAAAGTGTCAAATTCCTAGGACACAAGAAAGTAGTAGGTCCGCATTAGATTTAAATGTTGATCGGCTAAAGTTAACTGAAGTGTAGCAATTATTACTTTAGCTTAAAAAATTAGTGAAAGTAATGGTGTAACCGAAAAATTTAGCTAAATTGTAATACACTTTGATGAGTTTCCTTAACAACTTATTTTGAGCTATACACGGATACCTAGTGTTTAATGGTAATTTTCAACATTTTACAAATGTACATAACGCATAGAAAACATCAATTCATCTGAATGTAAACTTAACTCATAGTTAAAAAGTCTCACAGAATTCGTGATACACATTCAGCTGATAATATGACCCAAGACAAACTTATTAAATATATTTCAAAACTATTTACAATGACTAATTTTAACAGCGATCACCTGAAATGTTTAAAACGAGAATTATGTTATTTAATATATTTACAATTTTTGTAACATCTTCCATTTTTTGGTTAATACAACTCTGATTAACTTCTTTTTTCAAGTTATCCAGTAGTTTGTGAAACAGTTTGTACGTGGCAATGTTGTTCTTTAAAAAGCTTTTAAGCTGCAAAAATAAAATGATTTGCTAAAATTTAAAAAATCGAAACCATAATAATTAATTGATAATAATTATATTATGATGAAAAGCTTGTTTAACGTTGAGTTAATGTCTAACTTTCTGACTGTGTAAGACCATGTTTAAAATACAGTCACAAGCTATCGTTGAGATCTGCAGCTGATCAAACCTGAACTGCTCCAGATTCCTCAACATTGTACTAACAACTTTGTCTGAAAATAGTAAAATATATTTAAGAAGTAAAATTTAAATACAGTTAATTGGAAAATAAAGAAATAAAGTTTACAGATAAATTGAAGACGAAAACGCTTAAAATAAGTTAAATAGAAAAATGTAAATAGAACATCAAGTCTACCTACCATTAGATAATAATTTAGCTCTGACACGACGGTGAAATGAGAGATTTCTTATAATCATGAAGGAGAGCAAGAGAGAAGACGAGTTGGTTGCTGAAGATGTAAATGTTTCACTGTAGTCTATAATTGTCAGTATCAATCCTGAAAAGTTATTAAAATGATTATAAGCTGTCAAACAAAAAATTGTGGCCCATGGTTAAAAAATTCTTTGCCGAAAATCTTGCAACGTTTTTTAACTAGTCTACTTAAAAAAATATTAATTAAAAACCACGAACGAGTGTGAACGGAGAGGTGCGTAGTTTAGCTGTACATTTTTGATTATTTTTCTTTACAATGATATTCAATAAAAACCGAAAAATTAAGATCTCTAATAATTAGCGATTAGCAAACGAGCTAAAATTTCAAACCGTATTACAATCTTTTAATGAAAATTTTTAAAATAACTTCTCAATAAAAAAGAATGGTGAATAAATAAATGGTGAGATAATGAACCTTGAACTTTAGATGTGATGACCTGTCCATCTGCTGTGAAGGTTATGTGGCATATAAAGGAGAGAAAGAGATGGTCAACCAACTGGTCAGCTGTCGATGGAGTTCTCGACGACATTGGATACAACCTCTGCTGATTTACTCTTTTCACAAAATCCGACAGCAAGGAGCTCTATAAAAATGATGCCCCAGCAGTTGAACGTTATCAGCATTATTATCACAATTACAATATTCCAGTATCACACTATACATTTTTTGGCGTTAATATCATCGTCACTTATAAGACCGAGAGCTCAGCCGGACCGTAGCTTATCGTGAACTAAGTTTTCACTAAAACTACATTTTTAACATACTAAAACTATCTTATCCTTCATATTCCCATGATAACATTACCACCATCATCATCCTCCACAAGATGTAACCTTAGATATAACACTCCTGACTTCAGGGCACACAACAACATTGTTCAAGAACTGAAAAGACATTTTCAACGTTAGAGACTGTCGAGTTGAGTTTAATTGATTTGAGTTGTCATCAGCCAGTGCAGTGCTGATGAACTTGAGGATCATGTTCAACACTGTTTGATGTAGCGCCTGTTTCCTGGCTGCTGTGGTTGTTGTTGTAACATTAACCAGCGACGTTGTAGGAAGACTCGAAGACATGAAGGTGCAAGCTGCATGCATGTGAAATTATTCAATATTATTGAATATACTTACTCAGATATTTGGTTTGAAAATATTTTAATGTTGTACGGCATTTGAATTGGTTGGATCTTAGTTGGTATGAAGTTACAAAAAAAATTTTAAAAGATATTTTTCATACATTGCAACCAACTGTGAAGTATAGAGCGGATTGAAAAAAAGATTTTCGATTAGTGATTCAATTAAGCAGAACTTTAAATTTACAGACAAGTTGTTAAACAGAAAACGTTCAACTAACCAGGCACACAACTGCTAGTGAAACAAACAAGTAAGGAAAGCAGTGATGTCGCGAGTGTATCATTATGCTTGTTATGTTTCGGCGACGGCATCATCATTGCTGACATCACCGTCATCATCCGCATCATCACATTCCTCCTCTTCATCGATGCAGCAGTTGAAGTTGAATCATCGGCATTCAAACAGACTGCCAACTGTTGATCATTTGGTCATCATTGCAATAATTAAATAATTCTTTAGATTCTTTTGGTTACCAATAGAAATGAAAAAATATTGTTTATATGGAACACTTATAGGCAAACTAAACTGTTGTTGAAATATAATAAAAATGTATTTATAAACAAAATTAACTGACCTTGACATCTAGAGATTTGTACATGAAGTTGTTCAACATTCCGACCAATAACAACAACTCCATTCTGCATACCTTCAATCAATTAAATGAATAAATCAAAAAAGCGGTTATAAAAAATTATAATTTGTACTGCAGTATGTGACTTTTCTAAGAGCATTAAAATGTGTTTCTAGGTAACTGGCAGCCAACATGTTAATCATTTTGAAAAATCAAAAATATTACAAAAGTTGTAATTAACCTTTACAATCAATCAATCAATCAATCAATCAATCAATCAATCAATCAATCAATCAATCAATCAATCAATCAATCAACCAACCAATCAATCAATCAATCAATCAATCAATCAATCAATTAGCTTATAAAACGCTATTTCCGCGATGTTCAACAGCGCTCCTCAATGAATTTTGAAAACAGATGGGTCTTGAGATCCACTCCGAACTTCGCAAGTGATGGAGAAGTAGTCAGAGAAGTAGGTAGAGAGTTCCAGAGAAAAGGACCAGAAAAAGCAAAAGCAGATTTGGCAAAAGAGTGTTTAACACGAGTTAAGAAAAAGCGAGAAGAAGAAGATCGTAAACCGGGGCGTTTAGGTTCAATTAATATATCTGATAAATACTTAGGAAATAATTTGGATTGAGACTTATACATGAACGTGCAAATTTTAAAAATTATTCTATATTTTATAGGTAGCCAGTGCAAGAGAACAAGATATGGAGATATATGAGAAAAGAAATGTGCACGAGCAACTAAACGAACAGCAGAGTTAAAAGCTTTACTGAAAGGATAGAGTATAGGATCAGAAAGACCATAGTAGAGCGAGTTACAATAATCAATCCTAGATAAGACTAACGAAGTAACAAAAAGGAGAAGAGTAGGATCATCAAGGAAAGGCAAAAGTTTTTTATTCTACGTAGATGAAAGTAAGAGCTCCTAGCAACACTATTAATCTGAGAAGAGAGAGACATAGTAGAATCAAAGATAAAACCTAGACTACGAAACTTATGAGAGACATCAAGAGTTTTAGAATCTGGTAAGATAATAGGAGGAATAGTAATAAAGTGTTTAGATTTATTAAAACAAATTAATTCAAGCTTAGAAGGATTAAGTTTAAGACACATAGAGTTAGACCAAGCAATAATTGAAGAAAAACATAGAGATAAATTATGAAGAACATTATTGAGATTAGATGGAGGAAAAGAAGTATAAATGTAAGAATCATCAGCATATAGTTGACTAGAGAAAGAAAAGTTATTAATAATACGAGGTAGTTCAGAAGTATGGAGTATAAATAGAAATAAATAAAATATGAAACAAAGTACCTTTTCGTTATAGGAGGTCGACTTGTTAGCTGTGGACGTCCAACAATAAGAAGCACTGTCCTCACTCCAGCAGTTGAGTTGAAAATCGATCTGATTAAATATCATGTCTAAAAGTCCAGCTGTCAAAAATTTATTTGATCAAGAAGTGAACATGAGGCTATCTATCATACCGCATGGAATATTAAATATCAAACTACATATTAAACACCAAGATCATAACAATTTGTTGTCAGTTGTATGGAATAGTTTATATAATTGAATGCCTGTTGGCACTTGTCAGCAACTCAAGAAACAATCCAAGTACTTTGTGTTCGACCTGGCTGTCGATCATTCGAGCATACTTAAGGCTATGCATATGATACCATACAAATAATAATAATAAAAGCGTTGTTTTTATACTCTATCAATTACTATTTCAAGAAGTCCAACAAAACTAATAGGATTAAGTCGAACTCCATCATATGAACTGATTAACAGTGCATTTACATCAGTTCAGTCAATTTAAATGTCAGCAAATCTTTTGAATCGATGGAAATTTGAAGATTTCTACGTTGCTGACAAAAAAATCACTTAGAAGAAAAAATAAACCAAAGAAAAACTCAAACCACCATATAATTAATAACATTCCAACAACAACAAAATCATTCACGCATATGATTAATTGAAAACTCGATAAACAAAACCTTTCAAGAGTTCTAGCTTGTAACTGGGATGACAAACAACCAGAACATTTTTCAGAGTTTCATACAAGGCCAGCTTGCAATTGACGGAAGAACTGGATAGGTCAACAGATAACGTGTTCATTTTTTTTACCAGAGAAAGGCATATAAGGAGGTTATTTTTGTCATGCAGTTTTGCATCATCCTGCTTGTTGCTACTACTGCTGCTACTACTTAACAACTGATCAGATGCTCTGAACACAGAGAACTTCTTTTTAAATGAATTCTTTTCATCTTGCAATTCACCTTCCTCTACAGATAAAACAGTCAGCAAGTTCAATGTGGAAAACCAAGATTCTTGATTGTCAATCTTCGAATGGTTCAGAACATTTAAGAAGGAGTCTATGAGAAAAATGTGGATGTTATATTAATTTAGAAATTGACTATGTTGAAAAATGTAATCTCCAAATTAGCAGGGTACAATGATTAGCATATATTAGCGTACACATCCACCCACTTGACAACGATGTCCAATGATTTTGAATGACCGTCAGAAGAGATGTCCTTGTCGCCGAGAAAACAGAGTGAGTGAGTATAATAATGATGAGGCGGTGGCACGATGTTACAAGTTCATTCAGGTGATCCCCGCCAGCCTGCTCCAGATCATCACCTGCTTCTTTCCTTACTTCAAGACAACACGACAGAACCAGCTGATTGAGGAAGACATCATCGAACATCTTCGTCAGCAATTTGCATTCCACACTTTTCACAGTCGACATCGCTGCAGAAGTCGCTTCAAATTTTTGAGTGGCTGCAGCTTTCCCTGTCGTCTGCTGTTTTCTAACATTTGATGCTGGTGATCCAGCTGAAGTAGTAATGGCGGTGATGAGTAATTGGAGTATTTCAGAAGAAAGTTCAAACAGCCTGGAAGGATTCTGCTTGTTTCTGTTCATTGTGACTACTTCGGCTATGACGTTGAATAAACTGTCGTGGGTAGAATAATGTTTTTTAACTTTTCAAATAATTACCTCACACGAGACGACAAGTGAAACATAAATTATAAACAACGCTCGGAACAAATTAGGACAGCTATGGTATTAGATGAGTTTGGTTGCAAGTTCTATTAAATTAAAGTGAATCATCAAATGATCACGATGAACAAATATCACATTTGTGTATTTTAATAATTAAATCATAAATTTACAACTGTTGAGCCCTCAAGAGGAAAAGCAAAAGTGCATTTTTAAAGTTCTAACTGGCAGAAATATAAAAGATGAAAAAAATGAACCCGAACGATAACTCACCTAATGAAATGGCTGACCACGTTGGAGCTGAACAACTCAACCACTACGTCAGAATTTTGTATGATCAAATTAGATAACATTATACAAACAGGAGACAATAAGGATGACGTTGCTATTGACAAGCTTGAAAACTTGTGAGACTCTGCTTTTTCGAGTCTCTTGTCACTACAGTTAATATTAGAAACGCGTCTACAAGTTTTCTTCTGCCATCTTTTAGCAGTGTTCTCGTGGCGGTACAATTGAGCAGTTAGATTTGATAAGAAGTGAGATATCAGAACAGTGAAAAAGTTCATTTCTTTCAATTCATGAAATAATGTGCGACTATCCAAAAGCTGAAAAAATTTGTTTAAATCGCAATCAACGTTTTCTATTTAATGTAGGGGTAAATAAACTGAAATAAACACCAAAAAAGTCTCAACAAATAAAAATTTTTAAACTATAACAACGTACTGACCTCTTCGCCATCGTCATAAGGTGGTAAACCATCAAGGTGACCACCCAGATCTTTAAAATTCATTTTCAAAGTAATTTTTCCATAATCACTGTTGAAGTCACATGAAGTCATGCTGGCCAATAACAATGCGGCTTCTCTTCTGATCAACAAACACTTGTTTCCATCCAAGAAAATTTTTAATGCAAATGACCACAAATTGTCTGATGGGTCATCAAAATGCATGTGATCCATTAATAACTTCCTGCCCAGTTTGGTGGAAGCATGCATTGCTGCAACGGACATGCCCGCCCGGCACGACTCGACATCTCTGTAGTACAGAAGAGAGAGCAACCAATCAAAATTTATTCTGTAATCAGGTCCAACGTCGATGAATGAAGACGTGGTTGAAGTCAGCACATCATCAATCACGTCAACTCCTCCAACAAGCATTTCTTCACTACGTTCAATATTATTACAGTTATAATTATTCCCCATCACATTGACACCATCAGCAGATGACCAGAATTCAGGCCAGTTCTCGCTGTTCTTACATGAACTCATCTCTGGGCAGAGATGACTGAGGCAGATGGCAGCCGACCTGAACACCCCCCTGCCAATGTAGGACGATCTGTCACCACCCCGTCCCTCGTGGAAAGTTTCTATTATTCTTTTCAAATAACTAAGTGTTAGTTTTAGAATCTGCATTTGAATGGAAAAGGACGACTGTGTCTGAGGAAGCTCCGCGGAGACAAGCAGGTGTCTTTTGGCATCACTCCAGCCAGGTCTGTGCAATCGAATGTAACTGCTATTGAACTATCTATCAAGTGCTATGCAGTTTGCAAAAATTAAAAAGTAAGAACTATCAAAGAGAAGATATACGTCAATCTTTGAAAAAAAAAATTAAAACAAAATGGAAGTGCCAAAAGAAGAGTATGAACAAAATCTTAGTTTATTTCAATTTCTATTACTGTGCAAACTATGCAAGCGGCTGCTCTGTTTTTTTGAAGATAACCAACCAGCTCGCCATCTATTCCGTAAATGTCAACGAATTCTCTCATAAACATGAGCGGGAATCAAATCTAATGGCGATACACTTAAAAATTTAAACACTTGAAACGTTGCTTAAAAGTTGCATAACAAACAAACAAACAATAAAAAGTGACAATAACAACCTCGCAGTAATGTGAGTATAAATCTGGAGCAGCTTCATTAATGTTATGATATCATCTGATCTCACCGAGTGTGCATCTTTCAATGTTTCATTCAAAACTTTTAAAAACTCAACGTGAACCGCATAGAAACTGTTCATCAACTGATGCTGGTGGTCTTCATAACAAGCGTCATTGATTAAACAAGTTATGCAGTTGATGTATTCAAGCAATGCTGTCCGGATCGATCTGTTTCGTGCAAGAAGATTGAAAATGTTGTTCGATTATTTATTAAATTCTGACTTCAATATACATTCACTGCATGAGTAACTTTCTAAGTAAAACCAACAAAAACTCACTTGATCAGATGCTCATTCAGAAATGTTACAAGCAGAGAGTCATTCTTCATTATTTTTGAAAATAATTCAAACACAACGGTGCTGGGCATGAGCGTGTTGTCAACCATCCAGCTGACCATCTGTCCAACCTTACCAGATCTTACCTGTTCTTTTAACAGTAGCTGATCTTTGTGCACTCGGTTGATGACCGACGTCAACAAGTCAAGAATGCTCACAAATAAGGAATAGTCTGACGAAGATGATGGTCTTACTGATAGAAACCTGCCAATACGTGATGAACTTTTTACTTACAACATTTAATTTCGTCATTGCAAAATAATTTATAAATTGGAAGAACTTCTTCTCCTTAGCTAAATAAACTTCTCAACATCAAACTTCATTTGTGATTTTGAATTGCAAAAAAGAGAAACTTAAAGACTTGAACAGCTCAACATTTGACAAAGCTCAAATTACGATAGTAAGAATGGGTTGGCTCATGATAGTGAACTGAATCCAAAAAAACATGTGGTACAAGACTGAGTTTATTTAAACTTGCCTGTCATCCTAAAAATTGAGCGTGTCAGGCAAAAGTAAAACCCCTGAGGTTCTAAATTATGTCTGGTCATTTGGGATTGGAAAGGTAAGTCAGAAACTCCACTGCAATGAAACATGTGATCTGCGATCGGTACACTTTAATGAAACATATGAGATGTTGCCAATGTGAGCACAGACTTTTTAAAAATGTTTACAAAATAAATAACGAGTTGCTTTTAAATTTGATAGATTAAGAACATGGTATCATAAACATTTTCCAACCAATGTTTATGGAACTATTTGACTTACAAAAGGCTTGGTGGTCAACTGCATTCAGTTGTCAAATGTCAATCTCTATTACTTTTCATCACTCATGAAGACAGTCAATAAAGTTAGCTGTTATGTCTACTAAAAATATAGAATAAGTAAAATTAATAAACAGCTACAAGCGACTGAACTTTTAAGAAACTTTTGAGATGTTTTTAAATGTGCCTGAGGAAACTTATTTGATCAACTGCTCCAGTTCTTAGAGGTTATAACACTTACACACGTTTTTCTTATGAAATAGATTTTAGTGAAATGTTGAAAATGAGTTTGTGAATTTGTTTCCATTCAAAATAACGGTTCCCCAAATATACCAGTTCTGATGTCCAGAGGTTCAAAATATCTTACATTGCCTACTTGGCCTTATTGTATTTATGGTCAATGAAAAGATAAGAAACAAATTTTAAATATGTCAAAATTTCAATAAAAATGATCATTTACATTTTTTTCCATCGCAGTCAAGATTAGTTATTAACCTTTTTAAGAAAACCATCCAACCAGCATCAGTCAAGGAGCTGATGACATCATCATTTGAATGAAAGTGGGATGTGTAAAAGTGAAGACGAATTATTCCGTTGAGGACAGGCAAGTGTGCAGTTGCCATGTTTACGTCATCCACAGTTTGCCTCATGCCAACGAGAGGTGAGCTGACGAGAAGATACAACTTGTCGTCAGGTGTTAAGTTCAACTTGCTGATGTACCTGCAAGCACAAACATTCAACAAGTTACATTCCTATACATAAAAAATGATTACATTTAATAAGTTCTCACGTGATAACATTCACTCAATTTCCCGATAGGAAAGTCTTAGTGGATGATAGCAGTGAAAAAGTGGAGTAAACATGATTAATAAAAAGGAATACTAATCTTAATCATAAATCTATCATTCAAAATAATGATTATGAAAACAAACGCATTGAAGGAGTTAATTAAACCACCAAAAAGAAAACAATTTACACAAAACTGGATCATGTGAAATACTCAAGCTGAAAGTTAGTAGAACAGACAAAATGAGCAATTAATTAAACCTTAACTTGTCCAAAGTCTGATCGTCAGGCAAGTTTCTTGCAACAGCCGCAACCAAATTGTTACTTCCATTGTACAAACCAACATTCCAGATCATTCTAGCTTCTAGCTCCAACCACCTCGTATCATCCATTTGTTCATTCAATCCATTTATTAATTTGTCTGTTTCGTCGAGACATTTTTGGCAGATAATTAGCGACGACGATGCTGATGATGAAGATACTGATGTGAGTTGTGGAGGTGTGCAGATTAAAAAATCTACGTTGAAAGGAATGTTCAAATACTTGCTGATGTACACCAAATACTTATCTGGCTTCTCAATGTCACTCTTAGAGACATCAAAATCATCCTCGCCCACCTCTTCGACATCTCGACCGACGTCAGTGTGGCGACAGTGGGTTTGGTGGTAAGCACACATGTGAGGATTTCCGCTGACACCACTAGCAGCAGCAGCAGCATCGCCACTACCGCCGTAGCGCGTCATGATGAGCATGAAGAGGATGCATGATGTGTGAGTGAGAGCTTCTCTGTTGCCTTGCGAGGCAAACATCAGGCAGTCTGATGACGGTGGCCATGGTGGTGAGTGAAGGTCAGTCATGAAAATATCACCATGCGCGTAAGAACATATACTTTACAATAATAACAATAACAACAACAATAATAATTGTGATAATAACAATAATAATAATAATATTCAGGACAGATGATAATTCACGAGAATATGACAAAAGGATAAAAATATATTGCAGAGATTGAAATGTTCTGAAGGTAAGAGTGCAGCATTGTGACAATTTAAAGGTGATGTGTTAAAAAGGATAAACAGATGTTAGAGTTGAACAAATTCTAAATTAATAAATTGAAAATAATCAAGTAAATACATCGTCTTTTACAATGAGTATATGACTGTGAGCATTCAGACATTAACAAAATAAGATGTATCAACAAACTCTAACAAAAGCAACAATTCTATAATAGACAGAGAAAAATAATTCAATTCCATTAACTCTATCTACTACATACCAAGCTTAAAATTAAAAAAAGCTGAAGAAACACTGACATCTAAAAAGCAGATGATACACTCCCTCATCCAGGCACATGTCCTTCCTAGCATCTCCACCCCAGAGTACGACGTGCATGAGGCACTGCATCAACTTCATCACCATCCTCAATCGACCATTCCACGAATTGCACTGCAGAATGGAGCTCATCAGAAGTGAAATCACCAAACTGGTGCCTCCATTCCGAGCAAATGATTGATGAAGACTCGTGTCAAACAGCATGACAGCCAGCTGAGATGCACAAGACGTCAAAACTTCGATGCTGTTCATGTTCTCGGATGACGACATGGCATTTAGGAGTTTTAAGATGTCTCTCTCTTTACAGACAGATTTGGTTACGTAGTCGGCTCTCGATATTTTCAAAACGTTGCTGTTAATTGTTGTCGACAAGTCTAAACTGTCTTGTTGTATGTTTCCATGTCTAAGAGCAGTGCTTACAGTATCATCATTCTTATCATCAGCACCACCATCTGCGTCGGCGTCATCAGCACCACATCCACCGGCAAACATGTTGGCCACCCTATCAACGACAACAGCTGACAACCTTGGGTATTTTTCTTCAGAACTTTCTTCACGAGACAAAATATCTAGAATAACATTTGTTGCTTGGTGTCTCAGCTTGCCATTATGTTTGTTAAACATCAGACAAAGCCAAAACATCAAATGATCAGAATTAGGACGTTGAGGGGGTGCATGGACATCCCTGAGGTCCTTAGTGGTACCATCCTGCAGACTTCCATCATCCTGCCCTCCATGGAACAAACCAATCAGGCACTTAGTGACTGTGGAATCGGTGGAGCATGCGGTGCTCAGGCTGGGTACGATGGAGTGGAGGCATTTGACGACGCTTAACCAGAAGTTAGGAGGCGTGATCAGTTTGCATTGGAGTACGTGCAGGATTATCTCATAACAGGCATTTTGAATCTGTGAATATAGAAATACATTTGCATGAATAGATAAGAAAGGACTTTCATGTTAACAACAACATTCATAAGATCCAGACAAATTAACAACAACAACACACGTTTAGACGACATTTTCCCCGCGATCGGGGTTTGCCGTTTGGCTACCTATGATGAAACCGAAATACCCCTCGACGCCATCCACATCTGTCACTCGCCTCAGTATCACGCAACCCCGCTTTCACCCTGTCCTTCTCCACCTGCTCTCTCCATCCCAATCGCGGACGACCCCTTCCTACCACTCCTTCAACCTCGAACTCCAACGCTCGTCTAATCCCGACCATTTCATCCCTTCTCAACACATGTCCATACCACCGCAATCTCGATCTCCTTATCAATGTCACAATGTCCTCATTCAGTCCCATCATTGACATCAGCTCTGTACTACTCCTCCTATCCTTCACTTTAACCCCACACATCCTCACCATAGCTCTTTCAGCCCTCTGCAGCACACTTTCCTTCTCTCTCCTCAACACCCAAGTTTCACCACCATATACCATCGCTGCTCTCACACAAGATTTAAATACCCTCCCTTTCATCTTCACTGACCATTTCTTTCCACACAATACCCCACCCAGTTCCCTAAATTTCATCCATCCTACACAAACTCTAGCCGTAACTGCGCTCAAACATCCTCCATCCGCGTTCAGCTTATCCCCTAAGTAAACAAAGCTTTCCACTCTTTAAATACCACCACTCAACCCCGTCCTTGCTTCCATCCGATTAATCACACCATGAACACATTTCTTACATTTGAACGTGCCTTCCACCTTTTTCAGTGCCCCCCTCACACCACTACATCTCTTATGCACCCATTTCTGACATCCTATACACAATACCGAGTTAGCCTTCACTCACCTGTCACATACCCCACAGGGGTCTATTTTACTTATCACTCGCTCCCCACATTCCCCACTCACCATTACCTTCGTCTTACCAATATTAACTTTTAACCCTTTCTTTTCAATAACACTTTTCCATCTGTCAAATTTTAACTGCAATTCTTCCATGCTATCAGCCATCAAGACTAAATCATCTGCATACAAAATCTCAAATAACAACCCCTCCATTATGTTTCCACACACAACATCCATCACAATTGCAAACAGAAACGGTGATAACACTGATCCTTGATGCACTCGTACCTTAACACTAAAAGCGTCCGACATCCCCCTTCCAACCCTCACCTTTGTCTTTGCCCCTTCATACAGCTGCATCACAGCTTTAACAAGTCTCTCATTCACTCCTTTCTTCCTCAACGCCCATTCAATGACCTTCCTCGGTACTCGATCAAAAGCCTTTTCTAGATCCACAAAACACATGTACAATCTTCGTTTCTTCTTTCTATAATTCTCCTGCAACATTCTCACCATGAACAACGCATCCACCGTTCCCCTACCAGGCATAAACCCACACTGCATTTCATTAACTGTCACCATATTTCTCAACCTCCTCTCAAGCACCCTTTCCACTACCTTCATTCCGTGCTCTAGCAATTTCACACCCCTATATGACCCACAATCTCTCACATCCCCTTTGTCCTTATACAACGGCACCAACACACTGTGTCGCTAATCCTCAGGTATACCTTCATCATCAAACATACTGTTAGCAATTCTCATCATAACTTCAATTCCTATCACCCCACTCGCTTTTATATGTTCTGCCGCCACTTCCGAAACCCCTGTTGCCTTACCTAGTTTCATTTCTCTAACTGCTTTCTCTACTTCCTCCATCGTCACCTTCTCTATAGGTCCGTGTGTGACCGCGGATTCCACATCTCCATCCCACTCATTTTCTTCATTCATCAACCTTTCCATATGAGCTTTCCACACCTGAGCTTTTTCCTCCTCATCTATGCACAACTTGCCAGATCCATCCCGAACACATCCATTCCCTATAACATCTTTCCTATCCTTCATTGACTGCTTTGCTACTTTGAACATTTTCCTCGAACTCACATCAAATTCCATTTCCTTCATTAACCTATCTGATGCTTTCGTCATTGCAGTTGCCACTGCCTGTTTTGCAACCTTCTTAGCCTTCCTATACTCAGACTCCGCTTCCTCCGTCATGTCCCTTCTCCATATCCTAAACCTCTCCTTCTTGACCTCCAAAACCCTTCTTATATCTTCATCCCACCACCACGTCTCACCATGCCTACACTTTCCTTTCGTCCATCCACATACTTTATCTGCCGTAGCCAACACACAGTCCCTGTATCTCTCCCAAACCTCTCCATCCTTACCACTCTCCCAATTTTCAGCCACCTTCACTTCAAATGCCTTCCTCACCTCTGCATCCTGCAACTTCCATGTCTTTCTCTTTGCCACAAACTTATCCTTCTTCCTCCTCCCCATTTCTTTTGATGTCACATCCATCACAACCATACTATGCTGCAGCATACCAGGTATCGCCTTCACATTCTTCACATACTTCCTATGTTTGGCCCTTACCAATATATAGTCTATCATCGACCTATGCTCCCCTGACCTATACGTAATCAATCGCGCTGGTTCCCTTGTAAACCAGGTATTCCCCACCACCATGCTATGTGCATCCGCCAACTCCAACACTCTACGCCCTTCCTCATTCCGTATACCATATCCCCATCCCCCATGTACACCTTCATATCCGTCTGCATTCGCCCCCACATGACCATTCAAATCACCCAACAANACCACAAACTCATCCAACCCCGNTTGCCCAATCTCGTCAGAAACATCATCCTAAAACCTATCCTTCTCCTCTTCCTTCCTACTTTGTTGCGGAGCATATCCTGATATCACCCTCACTATTACTTTCCCAAACACCATCACCACCACAATTACACCATTGCTTCTCCGCCTCACTTCCAACACCTTCTCCACCAACTCTTCCCGTACCATCATCCCCCTTCCACCACAACTTATATCTTCCACCTTTAGCCCCCACAAACCTTGTACCCTCACCCTTGCAGCCACCTTTTCTCCTCTGCAGCTCCTCCACCACTTCCAAACTTCTTCCTGTCAACGTGCTTACATTCCAGGTACCAAACTTCCAACCCCTTGGTCTACAAGTAGTCCTTCCATCTATAGCGCCTTGCACCGCCACACTATAGAGTGGGGTGCCAGTAGCCAGACAAATTAAGCTGACGTAAAAAATGTAAAGAACTGGCTAAATAATGAAAAAAAATCATCAAAATGTAATGAGAGATGAGTTGAAGTTTGAAAATGTAATGCAACCTGCTGCCGGCGATCAGTGTTCATGTGCTTGATGAGTGACTGCATGATCAGTGGATTGATGATGAAGTGTAGAGACTCCAGGACAGATGATGATGGAGGAGCTGATGATGACAACAAAGTAGAGGACTGAACTAAGGACGACGATAGTGATGATGATGAAGATGATGATTCAACAAATGATGACATGCTGCAATTATTTATGTTCAATATACTCTTCACCATAGATTGCATGTGACTGACCGCGTACAGCCTCATCTCGTCATCGGCTTGTGACAACAGGTGTTCAGTTATATTGATGAAACATGACTTAACATCAGATGTTAGCAATAATGATGAAGATTGAGAAATCAGAGCAATTGAATGATCAATGTAATCCAAAGATTTGTGATATTTCAAACTGTAAAAGGCTTTAATACATTTTTCAACGTTCTTCAAGAGCATCAATTCGTCGATGTTATTATTGCTATCCGGATCAATTAAGTCGTCTTTGGAAGGACCAAGAGACATCTTCAAGCAGTCTGACACGATCTCACTTCCACCACAATCAATATCGCTGACATGTTCACTAACGTTATGTCTCCGTCTCACTGAGTACAAAATCTGTCCACAACTTTGCAGAGAATCTAGAAACAATTTTGATTGGTTGGTAGACTTTCGGACACCAATTGGTTCGACCAATCGAATCAGTATACTGAACTGCTCGGCCAATCTTGGAATAGAGTATTTTAAGTAGGTGTCTTCTGTTAGGCTTTTCAACAAAGTACAAATGGCATCAGAGAAGACAGAAAGTGACGAAGTCTGAAATGATTAATAAAAAAATTATTATGGAGAGTTGAAAATAAAAAACCGACAAAAATGCAGATGTAACCATCGAATGTCAAATGAATATAAATTTTAATAAGATTGCAACCACAAAACAAAAATGTATGGAAAATGTGATGAAAAAATTCCAACACGTGAGAGGCAGTGGATAAGTTTGATGCTGGCGGACGTAATGGCCACATAGGTCAGTTGCTTGTTTTGTTTCTCCCTTTCTGCTGCCCTCCAAACATTCCCGCAGTGATACATCTTCCTCAGACCATCCAACCTTCTCAAAGTCGCTTCCATTCTTTGTGTCTGGGGCAGAAATAAGTTAAAAATATATTAATAAGTGGCAAAAATCGAAACATTGAGACAAAATGAATTAAACAAAATTATTAAGATTGAATATTTCTAAAAACTGGATGTACCAAACTGGCGTCCGTCTGCAAACAATCTTCCAAAGAAATGAACTTTTCAAACAGTTCAATAACTGAATTGAATAAGTTGAGGCACTTTAAAAGCAAGAAATCACTGCTTCCCTCACTCAAAAATGGGATGATAACCTCAAACAGTTCAATGCACAAACAAGGAATAGTCCATTGAAAAGTGTGAGGGGTGTTCAGATTGTCACCCTCAGATGAAATACATTTGGTCAATTGGGACTGTGTAGCGTTTGTGTTGTGGAGGTGGGTGCCTGGTGCATCTGGAAACAGCTCGTCTGTTGGGGGTTGTATCATTGTATAATTGGAAGTGTTGAACTTTCTCATTTTAAACAATTCTATTTTTAAAGATTTAATTTAAAATTTTTTTTTCAATGATTTTAATGATTATTTTTCATGAATCAGTAAATTTTTAAAGTTTTTTTAAATTACATAAATTGTCAATAGTCTGGTTTTTTAGAGTGTTTTAATTGCAGTAAGTATAAAAGAATAACTATTGGATAATAATTTAATAAAAACTCACAGATGGTTTTGAAGTAATCTGGATTGATGACGTATTGACTTATCCTCTTCTTAACCACCTCACAAAATTTGCCCAGAGTAGTGACGACTGCAATGCTCACATCGAGCTCTGCATCCGACAGGAAGAGGGATCTCATTGTGGAAGACGTCGTTGTAGACGCGTTGGACGAGTTGTTCATTGTTTCAGTTGCGTTTAACAACAGCGTCAGCAAAATCTGAATGAGTTATTGCGGCTGTTCACAAGCGTTCTATGATCTATAATATGCTATGAAAAGTTGAAAAAAAAAGCAGGAAAAAGCAAAACATTATTGAAGTGAATAAGTAACATTCAGAAAAATAAAAAAGAAAAAAATCCAACCTGTAGGATGTTGGGTCGTTGGAGGAAGACCTCAGCAGGATAATCGTGGAAGATGACAGCCTCGAGAAGACTGCAGACGTTCACAACGTCCAAGGTACTTCTGCTCTTCAACAAACTGAAAAGTTATTTGATGAAGTATAACATACAATACAATACAATGCAATACATAATACAGAGTGCATCAACATCTGAGAACAAACATCATTCACAATGTCACTTATAAATCTTGTAACTAGAGATATTTTTTCAAGCAATGAGTTGTTCGCATTTTTTCTTAGTGGGCTCTTTTCATTCCACACGCTGATAACGTTGCTAATAATCCATAAACCATAATGAATAAGAAATTAGGCACAAAAAGGAAAGTTTTCATTCATACAGATTCCGTGCATTGCTTTTGACACAACGAACATATATAAACATAAGTGATAAACACAGCATACATGTGTGGCTTGGCTGCACGTTATGCGAATCTCCTACATGTAAGCCCGACCGCTGAAGTGTAGTAACTGAACTCTACCACTACACTTTCACAAAAATAAATGATCATGTGACCGATTTGGAAGCAGCAGATACGTAGATTCCAAAGATTGTGACAAATTTAAAACATTTAAACTGATCAATCTTAGACTTACTTGACCACAGAATTGAGCACAATGAGGTCAGCATCTGTCAGTTCGATCCAACTGAACAGAACATTCCCTGGATGATCTGCTACATCAGGTTCAGCGGGGAATTTGTATCTTGAATGGATGCACTCATCATCCGGTGGGTAAGAATGAAGACTCTCATCCAACATATCCTCGATGTTTTCATGTGAAATATTTTGGGCAGTTGATGGTACAGGGAAACTTTCTGGAAAAATATAAAAAGTAATTTATGTTTCATCTTAATTTTGTCAGAGGACAATTTGAAGCAACCAATACGAAACAAATAAAGGCTAAAGATCATTCTCTTTTTTGCACTTGCTTCAGAGGTTTCAATGACAAACACACACAGAGTATACGAATACACGTGAGAAACACGCATCATCCACATTGCAAAAGATAGGCTGGAATCTCTTTGTAATCAAACCCAGTCACTGCAACAACAGGACCAGGCGCTTCTAACCATTGACCCATCACGCAGCTCAATAAGTATATTTCCACTTAATTAGAAAAAATTTGCTGTAAATGCCAACCATAATTTTATTTGTTATAAAATTAATTCATCCTAACATGTTCAATGTTTATTTCAAAGTATAAAACATTTTTCATCAAGATGATCTAAGAGGTGCTTGGAAGATTAAAAACAGAAGTAGACATTTGCAAAAATAACACATGAACATTTTATTGGGAAGAGTTTAGTGGACTCGTTCAAGTCCTTGTAGTCTCCATGAGGTCCAACAAGTTGATACGTAAGAAAAATAATCCAATTTTGACAAAAAAATATATTAAAAGAAAAAACTCAAAAACCTTGAATTTGTGATACTTTGGCTGGCTTGTAAGTTAGCTTGAACCCAACATCATATTCATCATAATGTTCTTCATGTAGATTGCATTTTGCGAGTGAGTCTATGATATCTTCAACCATTGTGATGTGACTCGTCAAAACAAAATCACTTTTCAAAGCAGTGAGAAACTCAATGGCTCCTAACTTTATGAAACTTGTGGCTGCCTGAGGATGCTGCAAAGGAGAAAAACTATTCTATTTAAAAAGAACTCATTTAATAGCAGCATTCAAAAAGTTCATCCATACGGTGATAAATTTACTTTCTAATTAACCAAGTAAAATTTGAATTTAAATTGAAAAAAAATATCAAACTTTGATTAATTGCGTGATTAAATTTAACACTTCATCAACCATCAAATTGTTTTTCAAATTGAACCAATCCAAAATTCTTGTATGTAGGTATTCATCTGTTGAGAGGACTTCATCAGAAACCAGACCCAACTTCACTTTCATCAACAAATTCTTCAGAGCTCGAACCCTTATTTCTTCCAAAGAATGACCTATACATTCATGATAAGTTCATAAATATAAAGAACTAATAAAGATAAATTTAATATATATAAATATATATTTATTTATGACAAGATACCTAATCTAATGTTCTAAATTTTTTTTATAAGATTAAGCTTCAAGTTTTATATGTGTTTTCAAAGCAACAAATGTTAGGAAAATTAAAAGGAAGTCACCATAGAAATTGACTTGACAGTTGAAGTTTGAAGAATGCAAGAATCTAATGGGCTGATAATCTAATATCTAATCTAATGCTAACAGCTAGCGACCCAACCAAAGAAATGCTAAGAGAAAAAGAACAGACACTTGGCTGGTGAAATTGCACTGCAAGAAACCTCCACAAAAAAAACTCTAGTGAAGACTGAAGAAATAAGAATATAACTTGTATTAATAATGATTAATCAATTACAATTATAAAAATCAATCAATAATGAATAACGTAAAATGATCATTTAAAATTAAAGTTAAATTTTTTTATGTAAAAATTATCATTTAGTTAGACTATCACTATTCTATTTATTATTATAATTCCGTCCTAGATATTCCTTAGACTTTAGAGGTTATTAAAAATTGAAAACAAACACACAGTGCATATAAATAAATAAATATGAATCAATGCATCACACACTTTTGCATGTGATAGGCAACTTAACCATTACGGATTATGATTATCGCATTTCTGACAAAGAAAATAACTATAATATATAATTATATATTATAATTTTATATTATAATTATATATAATAAATAATATAACAACACCAGGCAACCTTCCTTTACGACTAGGAGGCCCTCCTGCCATCCTAACCCAAAGATAGCAGACCACTACATATTGACTATGCTAACAGTTGGGCTATTTAATTAACTGGTAAAACGTGAGAATAGGTACTCCTATGGTATCGTCCATGTTTACAAACAACCATAATGTACTTTTAATAAATTAACTCTGCCCATTTTGAATTATCTAGCATTTGATTATTTATTTACATCAAATTGAAAATAATTTAATTAGGTAAGTTTTTTAGATCATTACTTGTCAAATAGTTGAAATAGTGAACATTAAATAAAAAAAAGTAAAAAATGAGTAAATTTCTGTTTTGATAACAATCAATGGCTCATGGAATGGTTAACAGGGTTAGGGTTAGGGTCTCCCTTTTTAACAAAATTTTCAATCATTTCACAAATATGGAAAAGTTAAAATTTTCAATCATTTGTGAAATAATTGAAAATTTTGTTAAAAATGGAGGCCCTAACCCTGTTAACCACTCCATAAGCCATTGATATTTGACAAGTAATGATCTAAAAAACTTATCTAAGAATTAACTTGTATTAAAATTAAATTACTTACCTAAGAATTAACTTGTATTAAATTATTTTCAATTTGATATAAATAAATAATCAAGCGCTAGATAATTCAAAATGGACAGAGTTAATTTATTAAAAGTACATTACGATACCATAGGAGTACCTATCTCACGTTTTACCTAATTAACTATTAGATTAGAAAAGATTATAAGAAAATAAAATAAAATATTTGACACTTTACAATTTTACATTTTTACAACGTCAAAAATAAAAAAAAACTGTCTACCAAACTGGCCCAAAGTCCCAAACACAAACCTAGTTTGGCGAATAGTTGTTTCAGGTTGGCTTCTTCCATAATTTATCCAGAAAGAGAAAGTGTTAGTAGTTAGTACATAAAAAATACTGCATTTCTGACTTTTAGACTTAGAGACTCAGCATTAAAGACGCATCCCATCATAATTATCCCAACAGTAGTACAACAGTAGTAGGTTAACGTTGAAGAAGTTAAGAAGAACATGACAACAAATTAAAGTTGTTGTAGTTACCGTACATATATATTTATATGTATGTACATATACATTTATATAACCCGTAGTTGCAAACTTACAAAAGGCGCGGTAACTATGTATAGTATAAACTATAAACATGTATCAAATGGGCGAGTTTAATAATTTCAGCAGATTTACTTTTAACCACTGTTTCATTCAAGTACTTTCTATCTTGCTTTCTGCCAATCTCACTCCAGGTGAAACAACCTAAAAAAATTTTTGATTTGTTTATTAGGTACTCCCTATCAATCAATCAATCAATCAATCAATCAATCAATCAATCAATCAATCAATCAATCAATCAATCAATCAATCAATCAATCAATCAATCAATCAATCAATCAATCAATCAATCAATCAATCAATCAATCAATCAATCAATCAATCAATCAATCAATCAATCAATCAATCAATCAATCAATCAATCAATCAATCAATCAATCAATCAATCGATCGGTGGATCATAAATTTGAAAAAATTGAATTTTTTTATAATTTGAGGTGTTATGAAATTCAACAAACGTTTTCTAGTGTGGCCAAAATTAGGCTGGCGACCTATTTTTATCCTTATCACGCTAATTTTTAGTGCATTTTGTACATAAAAAAGTGTTTTCCTGTCAAAAAACAGAGTTTTACTGACTTAATAACAACACTGCTCACAACGGGGGACCATGGCCTCTAGCTTCCCTAGATCCGCCACTGCCTATATGACAAACTGACAAAGAGTGTAAGTATATAGAAAAATAAATAAAAAGGAGAAAAAAACTAAAAATTAAAACCAGCAAATAACTTTTAAATAATTAATATTCAGGACAAAGTAACAACCTTGGAATTATATAATTCAATGGTAACAACTCAATTTCTGGTTCCGACCAAATCACACATAAGTTATCAAGAAAATTAGAAAATTAATAATCTTATGTGAGCCACATCAAAATTTTCCAAAATATGACTCTATGCTCCGTACTACCCATCACGAAACTAATTAAACCAAACGAATCATAAGTTAGCTGCAGACGCTGACAAACTTTTTGTGAGATATTTAATGAAAATAGCAAAATGTCGAATACACAACGTGGAAGTAGAAAAAAATTCAACATTAGACAACATCATGTTTCTAGAACCTGTCGTATTAGAAAAGCGTTCAACAACAATGAAGATGTTTTGAAGAATAAGGAATGTTTTCTTATGTTTTGGTTATTAATGTTTGCCTATTCAGCTTGCATTCAAGATACGTTAGGAACACATTTTTTAAATATTTTAATGTTTTTCTTTAATTTTGTTATTTCCAGGTTCATAAATATTTTAAAACTATAACCTTAGAAGTTCAAAACTTATTTAACATTGTTGAAACCTCATGGTTGGTTACAACTTTTCAGATCAATTTCCTCTGCGTTAAAGATTAAAGTGCATTTTTGATTGTTTTTTCTGAATAATTTTTGTTCGAAAAACACTGGCGTAAAATATTCTTAGACAAGAAGTTTCAGTTATGATAATGATAACAGAAACTAGCTAGTGGTGACAAATGTTCTGATATCTTAATATAATAGTGGACCTCAGTTTTCACTGGCAACAAAATCTAACTCATTGCAAAATATATGTTGCAAAAACAGTTACAGACACATTTACAATTGTGCAATTTCGTACCAGACCCTGTCAACGTCCATAAATTTTGTGTTGATGTATTTTCACATTTCTATCGTTTTATTTTTTATTTCTACATTTATGCCAAGCAAGTTGAGTTTGTCAGAGCTTGAATTTTCTAAAGAATAGAGAAAAGCAATATTTAAGCCCCTAAAAAAACAAAATCCCGGCAACGCCTATGAGTCGTGTTAACGTCTGGAACGTAACATGTGATCAGTTTCATTTATGATTTTAAAATGTAAACACAAATGTTTCTTATGGTTGAAGTTTAGAACAATATTTTTTTTTAATTTTCAGCTGCTCATACGAATTAAAAGAATTGTCGCACAATTGAATGTTTTTCTTATGAATTGATCTGAGTTTAGGTAAACATCTTGACACGCAGATCATTTTGTTGTACAATTTATTTTTATGAATTACTAGTAAGCTGAACGCGAGCTTTCACCATCGTAATATTTCCAACGAGCAGATAATGGCTTTGGACTTTGAACCATTATTGTGTTGTTGCCTAGTTAAATTTCTTTGAGTTTATGCAAGTTTAGTTGAGTTTCTTATTCTGTTCAAACTAACAGTGTAGAATCCAAATGGAATTTAACAAAGGATAAACTTTAATGAACAAAAAACGTGTTGTTCGGTAAAGAGCTCTGGTATGGAATAGCTGTAAATTTGTTGTTATAAACTAACTACGAGACTTTTTTGTGGATATTTAAAATATCTATTTCAATAAAACTTGTTTGAACTTTAAGTTTATATTGACATGTTTAATACACGACACTGTCAGGTATTAAATGGCTATTTTATCACACTCCATAGCGGAAAATGAGAAAGCTAAGACGGCTACGAACCCCCAATTTGTTTCTAGCATGGTAGGTGCAATGTGAATCACGTAACAATTACGCAAATAGTGACAATGAAATTGCGTACAAGAACTACGTAAAATATATTCCAAAAATGTCTCTCAGTTATTATGATAGTCTTATTTTTTTCAAAAGCTGGAACATGCTTGTTTTAGAAAAAATGCGAACACAATCCAATTTCAAAAACTTTATTATTTAATAATTATTTCTTTGAAAGACTTTAAATATTCCTAGTAGCTATTTTTTGATATTTTTCTAAACTACATTATAGCATTTTTTTATTACTATACAACACCAAATTAATTTCACACTCCATCATCCCATTCCAATACTCATTTCTGATCAAGAAGTACTTTTTTATGTACTTGGTCCTCTTGCTTGAAAGGATCTTCATGTTGGGTTTTAAATGGAAGTGTATAACAGTATTCCACGGTTACGTCGTTCGACAAATGGATTGTTCGACGTGTTAGGAATGCTAATCTCATATAAATGTTTCAAATTTATATTTGAAGTTTTATCTGGTTAAAAAGTTAAGTTATTTCGTTTCATTTAAACCAGATTTGTTCAACATTTATTCTGCAAATTTTTAATATTTAAACATAAAATTTTTTTTCTCCAATCAATAACTAAGATTCGTCTGACGCTAACTCCTAAGATTTCAACTCAACATGCCTTTCAACATTTGATAATTTGACAGTTAAGCAGGACGAAAATATGCCATAGATGTAGACTTGCCAATGATGAATGAGATTTTAATTACGTTCGAATGTGGCTGGGCACCACACATCAGTGCTTGCTACAATTAGGCACTATTCTTTTGAACCAATTTGTCAACACAAATGAGAAAATATAGGTCTATATTAAATTTGATGCTTTCCATTCCAATCACATGTTTTTTATTTGTTTTTTCGACTAAGCATTAAAAACGGTTGAGAACATAATAACAAACAACAAGATTGTTAATTGTTTTTAAAACTCATAGGAAAACGCCGAACGTAGGTTTCGTTAATTAGCTTCAGATGCGTGCTACCAAACCAAGCAATTCATTCATTTTTATCGATTTCATTTTTCACGTTTGTCCGCCATTTGTATGACGTTATTCGAAAACATAATCCAAATGGCAGCTTAGACAACATTTTTGCTTTTATTTTATCACAACTACAAACAAATCACTTTATATACCGGCGATCAAAGAAACGATGGACAACACAAAACAAAATAGTTCAATGTGTATTTTAGATTAAATTGTTATATAATTTTTTTGTTTCTTTTGCTAATTAAATTAAAATGAATAAAAATTAAACAAATTACAATCCAAAAGACAAGTTTTTGTTAACTATAAAAAGATGAATAAATATAGTGATAATGGTGTTTTAGCACACGAAAACACATGTAACAGGATTTTGTAGTTAAACATTTATTATTTGTGTTGCTCGAATGTTCATTTTTAGCTACAACCCGGAATTAATCAACATTTTTAAAATGTTTGCTGAATATTGCTGTAAAACGTTATCATTTCAACGATCAATATTATGTTTGGATTTACTTGTTTATTAGAAAATAGCAAAAAATGAATAAATACAATAAATGAAAAGAAATTGATGAACCCTTTCACGGTTAATTTCTGCATTTTCCAGTCAAAATATTTTTAAAAGATCTTCTAAAATCAATGTTGAATACTGTGTATATGACCGGGTTGATGGTGGAGTTGATGTAGCCCAACCAGACGAAGAAACTCATCAGCGTGTTACTCTGGTAGCACTGGGGACATAAAGGACCAACGATGTAATAAACGAAAAAGGGCAGCCAGCAAAAAACAAATGCTCCCATGATGATCGCCATTGTACGCGCTGCCCTGCGTTCCAGTGATAAGCTGATGCGTTGCTTCTCTTCCAGAAATTTGCTCAGAGTCGTCATGCCTCCGACTGTTGTGTTGCTCTGTGAGATGTGGACAGCGTCGTTCAGTGGATTGTTGCTGATGGAAATATTCTTAAGATTCGTTTCCACTGTGGTGCTACTGTTGTTAACTCTCACGACTTTATTTGTCCCAGTTTTTTTACTGACGTTGTAAGTGTTATTCTTGCTTTTTTTTATACTGAATGTGTTACTGTCAGCGTTTTTGTTATTTTTTGTACCGATATTTTTGTTGTTGAGATTGTGAATGTTTTGGCTTGTTCTTGTTTTCACGTGATTTGCAGATGGAATACTCAGTGTGTTGTTGTTATTAAGTTTGTTTGAACAGTTTGTTGGACACATTGCAGCGGTTGTGGTAGCGATGACGGCGGCATCATTACGGTTTTCATTCGATGCACAGTTCATGTAATTGCCAATGTGGGTTTTTCTGTTTATTGCCATCTTATCACGTGTGAGCATAAATCTGCGCTTTGCTTCTTTATCAATGTAAGCTTCATTTCTTGTGCATTGGTCGTTCTCGCTATAAGTGCCGGTGCTTATATAATTACAAGAAAAGAATTTACGGTTGTTTATTGCATCAGAAAAATCATTACCGATATCCCGGTCGTTACAATAACGCTGCAAATAAATAAAGTTTGGCGTGCTCCTAATGTTCATGCTGGTCATGCCTATAATGTTGCTACTTGCGTCGTTTGCAGTAGTGGTCGTGGTCGTTTCTTGCCGACCGGGCCCATCGTTGAGGTCCATGCTGGCATTGCTTTTTGTTTGACTGATTAACCTCGTTCTGTTGGAAATTTTATTTAATGTGGAGTTACTATGGGGCTTAAAACAGATGATGTTGCGTTTGTCTGAGTTAGCCCTGTTGGTTTTGTAGCGGTCTTTTATTTTTTTAATATCGTCAACAGTATTGTCTCGATCATTTTCGCAGTTACTACCAACGTTTTTGTTGAATTTATGTTGTTGAGAATGTACAAGAAAATTTAAAGTGGTGTTTTCATCGTCTCTTTTGCAGAACGGCGTTGAATTCAGTGTGTGTTTTGTGCCTACCGTCTCAGCTTCATCTTTGAACAGGTCGTTGTTGGAAAACGCAAAATCATGAATGCGTACATCACCAATATCATCACCATGATTGTTTTCATCATCATGATTTATGTTTTTATTATACCTGCTGTTATTATCATTATTAATATTATAAATGTTGTCGTTATCATCATCATAATTATTACATCTATTATTATTATAAACTTTTTTGTTGTTTTTATTGTTTTTGTTTTCATTCAAGACGTCATCAATTTTGTTGTCACCTAGATTTTTCATATCGTCTGCGCATGACACGTTAATCCTGCAATGATTAAGATAAGAGGTTATGTTGACGTTCTTGCTCTCTTTCCTCTTGCTGCTGCTGGCTGTGCTGTTATTGACTTCAAACACATTCTCACTTATGACATTATTGTTGCTGCTGGCACTGATGCCATTGATGTAGTTGCCGTTTGCGTTGATGTCGTTATTGGTAATTTGAGTAGAGTTAGTTAAACTAATTTCAGCTGCCACAACAACTTTTGTGTTGATGTTGTCGCATGGAATAGCGCAATGATCATTACTAATGACGTAACTTTTTGTAGTTTTTTGTTTCGTCAGATCGGTGGTTCTATTTTTTAGAGCATCCTTGTTGTTACTGTTGATGTTGTCATTGGTGTTGTCGTTAACGTTATTGAAATGGATTATGTCAGCGATGCTGCGGGACACGTTGTTGTTGTTTTCTCTGCAAACATCATTTTCGGTCAGATTTTCAATCGATCTTCCTTTATTATTAATATTAGAATAGCTTCTTTTGACCTGTCGCCCATGAAGCTGTGCAATCTTTTCAGTGTCGTTGTGTGGCTGCAGGACGTCGTCCTCTTTTACGCTACCGCTTAACTCTCCTATCTTCGACAAAGCGTTTGTATTGCAGCTTCCTGGTTTATAGCTGTTCTCATTCATGTTATTTGTTTGTTTGTTGGAGTCTTTAGTGTTGCTTCTAATGTTAACATTTATTGAAAAATGAGTCGGTTTATTATTATTATTGTTGTTGTTGTTGCTGTTGTTGTTGTTGTTGTTTTTGTTGTTGTTGTTGTTTTTGTTGTTGCTTCTTCCATTGTTATCTCCATACCATCCACTTTTGCTCATTCCACTATTACTAATATTATCTTTCGCGTTTATTAATTCAATGCATATACTATTTTTAGTGGCGGACAATTCTTTAGTTTCGTCAATGTCGTAAATTAGGTTAGATAAGGATGGCGCGTGATTATATCTTGTCCCATTGTTGTCGTTGCTGCTGTGTTTGTTGTTGTTTGGGCTGTCATTGCATTTGTTGTTAAAAACAGTGTTGTCAAGATTATTATTTCTTAAATTTTTTTCAACGTGGCTAGAGTTTTGGTAAGTTTTTATCGATTCATTACAAAAAATGAAGTCGGTGTTCGGTGGAGTGTTGTTGCTTGCAACATTCATTTCACAATTGCTGCAACAATCACTAATATAAGAGTTGTTACTAGACCTGGTTGGATTGTTAATGAGACATGCATTTTGAGTTTCAGAGCGAACGGCAACGTCAGTCGAGTTATTGTGAGCAAGAGATATGTTACGTTGGTTGGACAATAAAACAATGTTCGCTGGCGTTGTGTCTGTGCATTTGTCTTCAACATTTACTTGACAAGCATCGTCTGTAAAGTTGGTTGCGGTGTTGCCGCTGACAATGTTGCTGAAGTTGTTCGTGTGACTGTCGACGCTGCAGACATCCACGTTGACATAGTTCGAGAACGTTGTTTGTTGTGTTTGTAAATTGCACGATGATGGTACGGTTGGGTTTGTCTCTTTTAAATTTTGTACAACCTTTATTTTGAATGTAGGCGAATCTGCTGATGTTCTTGTTATCATAGGTGTTTTGATATTACATTTAACGTTATCACTGCTGGTTGTTGCAACGTTGGATTTCATTTTTCTTTTCACTGAACTTTTCTTCCACTTGTCCATTCTTTTGCTGACCTTATTAACAACTACATCATCGACATCTGTGGCCTTCAAGTTCATGTAGTTGTTGTTGTCGTTGTCGACGAGGTTATTTGATTTTTTGTTGTGTTTTGCACTCTTCACTTGACCTACTCCGTTATCGCTTATCATCGATTGACTATCTTCTGCACGAGCCCCACTTGCCACACCGACCACACTACTGCATCCTCCTCCTTCGACAACGCTGCTGTTGCAACCACCACCGCAGCCAGAGTAATTGAATGATTTTCTATTGAATTTCCTTCTGCAGCAGCATCTGAATCTTTCTTCGTGGTGCTTGCCGAATGGAGGAGCAGTCACAGTGAGAAGAAGTTTCTTACCCATTTTGGCTCTCCTCCTTAAGCGGCTCTTCGTAGCCAGGTAGACGTTGACGTAAACGAAGATCATGATGATGAGTGGAATGAAGAATGATCCAGATGCACTGTAGATGACGTAACTTGGATCGTCAATGAGTTCGCATGTCAGGTCAACACTGCTGTACAAGGACATGCGATGTTTCGGTGCTGCCGTCGATCGTGAGGTTACCACCGAGGCGTGAGGTGGTGTTTGAGTTAGTTCTGTGTGGTTGCGGCTGTTGAAATTATAACTTTTGTTTTTGTCGTTGCTGTCTTCGTCGCAGCTGCTGTGATGTTTAAAATCAAAAAATCTAGATGTTGTTGTTTTCAAGTTTAAAAAATGCCGAAAATTTTTACTATCAAATTTGTTGTTGCTGATGTTATTTTTATAAGCATTATTGCAGTTTTCGTCGTCGTTATAGATAGCTGGAGCGCTTGCACCGAACCAAGTGAGGAGTGGAGGCATGGAGATGACAGCACTGACGAACCAGACGATGATGATGCTTGTCAGCACACGCTTCAACGTTCGCTTCTGAGCGTATCGAATTGGGTCGTGGATAGCGTAGTAACTGCAGGGATGGAGTGGTGTTTCGTTTGTTATGTAACCGCATGAATAATTTGTTATACAGTAATTTACCGGATTAATTCTTGGTTTACTTCATACAAAATATTCAACTTTTAAAGATAAATTCACATGTGATGCTTTGAAAGTTAATATTCACTTGTTACAATTATGTTATATGCTAGTTGACTAATTAATTGTTTAGATTTAAATAATTTTAAATAATTTTTATGTATCAGTAAATTATATTGGAAAGCATTTATTTTCACGATAATCATAAGAACATTCAATCAACAACATCATTCATCCATGGAAATGTTGCAAGACAGGTTTGGCTGAATGTAACATCGTGATGTTAAAATTAGGTTACACGATGACGATGATGAAGTCGATGATGATGATGCATAAAAATTAATGATGGTGTCTTCTGACGATAGTCCTGATGATAATGATTGGTGATGTCCACATATTGTTTTGAGCTTGTCAAATTTGTGACCTTATTTTATAAAATTTTCATAAAAGGTTTCCAATGAATTCAAAAAAAAATGAAACGTGAAGGACATTTTGTGAAATAAAAAATGTGAAAAATGAAATCAGTATCTAATAAATTTTTGTGAAAAATTTGAAAAAAATATTTGATTTTTATCAACCAAATGGGAAAACAATTTTTTGGTTGACGAGCCACAGCAGCAGTTCCTCTTAGAAACTGTTCAACAATATATTCCAAAAAAACACACAGATACTGACTGTGTTGAATGAATCTCAAGAATAAACAGAAATTTCATTGCAACGAAAATGCAGGGAAATGTATAATTTCAGCATCTGAATCATCCTAGCAGCAATAAATATTGCAGTTGATAGCATCATAACGTTTGACATGATGATTAAAGAGGGCTTTATAGCTGAAATACATTAAAACTTGGGCACGTGTAAGAATATAAAACCATCTCAAATGGAGCTTCTTTGAGTCAGGAAAGTTAATGCGAGAACAAGTACATTCCAATGAAACACGTGTGCATGTGCAACTTGAACGCATGCATGGTTTTAAACCGTTTTAAAATACGTTTGAGACATGTAACACTATTTCTGATGTATTCAATTATTAAAAACAAGAATTAGAATAGGTTATAAACCTACACAATGCCACACTACTACCACACTGTACCATGGTGAATATTTGGCAAAGGGTTCAATATTTTTGGTGCAAAAACAATTTCTAATATCTTCAAAGTTTCTTATTTTATGTTTCATGGCATGATAATGATGATGGTGAGGCTGAACCATTAATATTAAAAATGACGTTCCTTTCATGCTGGTCACATACATACTCCAAGAAGAAATATGTACAAAGAATCTGCTGACTGGATCAATCAACGTACAACGGAGACGAACATTGCAAATAATGACGATCCAATAGCACAAACCAATGCCAGAACCAGTGCACGGTCAGTGTCGTACAATGTAACATGAATCATCTTCAAGTATATATTATCATAGAAAATTTGTGTGTAGCTCTAATTCAAAGTATCTCAGAAGAGCTTTCATAAAATTTGATCAAAAACACAAAATGACTGTACGGTATAGAAGCAAATGAAACCAAATCGAAGATAAAAATGTTTTTAATCTTTGTCTGAAATTATAAATGCTTAATCCAAGTGTCCTCAATGACCTCGGTACATAATGAGTTCCTCAAAGACAGTCCGGACGCAGAAATGTTTCTTGCTCCAATTAGCAACTCTGTAGTATTAATTGCCATCAAGTTTAAATCATCACACCTTAAATCAACATCAGCTGAAACTCTCGATTTTCTATTGAACTTACTGAGGTAAAAGTTGATTTGTTGCTTTTAACATTAAAACTCATATTTTAAAAATGATTCTTCTTTATAAGTTTAACCAAGGGAGATTTTTAAAAATTGGTTTGACTTTAGACCACTTTAAATTTTAGACCACTTACAACAATTTTGGCCACTCTGTTTTGAATCGACTGAAGTATTACTATGGTTTTAACGAGGGGACCATAAAACAGACTATTGCAGTATTCTAATCGTAAATGAATGAGTGCACCAAATGCTACATGGTCGACCGATCTAATGATAAACGACACGATAAAACTTTTGTAAACTGAATCTGCATGATGAAGACAACATTTTCAGATGAGTTTTCATTGACAACCTAAAATCTTAGATACATACAAAGTTGGACGCTTGATTTCAAAATTTTATAATCTGCCCATTTACATTAATTGAATCAATATTCATTTTCAATTTTAATAGTTGTTGCCACGTGCCAATTGGAAGTAATTAAGTTTTGTACTGGTTCAATTTAACGCGATTAATCAACATCCAGAGATCAACATTTGATAACCATCATACAAGGCATGGTATGTCAGTTACAATAATAATAGTAACAAATGTATCCATGACAAAAACGTGTTCATCAAATTAAAAACGGCAAGTTAATGTTGACTGATGAGATGCATTAATAAGGTTCTCTTTTTAGAAGCTCGATTTTCAATTCGAGTAAAACTTCTGCAAAGACAAAGCACAAAAATGAATGTACAAAAACTTTCTATCAAGCAAGGTTTTAAAAAATATGCGGTAGTTAGTTTGAACGAGTGCATCAGTGAAACTTCTGCTGATAACTGACCAAACAAATTTCAACAATTTTACGGTGCAAACTAAAACCAAATTATTTATTTTTATTTTGATGTATCGAGAATTAATCTTTAAAAAACTGATGAGGGTAGATGGAGGAAATTTTTTAAAATTTATTAGCGCGCCATAATTATATAGTTTTTTATTGAAATATGGCAATATGGAAAGAGTTTTCAGCGTAAAAACATGGAGTGGCAATGAAACATCAGCAACAACATCAAAGAAGCAACAAAACCACAACAAAAATGTCTTTATTTCAAAAATATCGACAGTGGCAGTAACAAATCCCACATAAGCAACCACATCAAAGTCAAACTGACGTCACAAGAACTTCAACCATGCATCATCGACATCGTTAAAACGTCTGTAAACAATCAAATAAAAACAACCAACAAATAAAATCAACAGACAACAAAAACAACGCCGCCACCATCAGCAGCAGCAGCAGCCAGCCACAACAACTTTTATGATTGAACACGTCAGAGTTAAAGTAATGAAGCAGAGATATAAAACATTTGCGCCACATACATCGGCTTTTGTTTGCCAGAAAATTAAATTCATTTTAAACTCCCTGTTATTGCTGTACATCATTATGATGTGTGCAGTACACACACACAAACACACACACATACACAAACCCATACCACATCTATGCCACAAAATCTACAAACTCACATAGTACAAGAACACAGTAACACTATATGCACCCACACACACACAAACAAACAAATATATATATATATATATATATAATATATTTTGGGTTTAGACTATCATAAATACAATTATTTATAAAGATCACACACACATCGCTCCCTCACACACATACGCAGTGATCTTTATAAATAATTGTAGCATGAATTCGGAAAATAAGTTTATTTTGAATTTTAATAAACTAAACGTTCACCAAAAAACTTTAGTGAGAAAAATTGAAAAAACGAACTACAAACATATTAACGCCAAACATTCGGTAGAATTTATAGAATATTGTAAAAATTATGGTCTATTACCAACATATATATATATATATATATATATATATATATATATATATATATATATATATATATATATATATATATATATATATATATATATATATATATATATATATATATATATATATATATATATATATATATATATACTTATATATATATATATAAGTATATATATTTATTTATTTATTTTATACCTTTTGTAGCGTTAATTATATAAAATATATTGCAATGTATGCATATCAATGTGTATCATATCATATTACAATGTTTGAATACTGAAGAGCATTTTTATTTTTCCATTCATCCATTTATTACCTAGTTTGACGGAATGTGTCATCGCGATAGTTGTTAGATTTAAATTAATTTTTATTTGTACTGCTGCCATGTGCGTCTGTTGATGTCTAGCAATCAATGTGGCTGTTCCGATGATGTCTAGAGATGAAGCATACACACACTGTAGCTGTTCCGCCATTGTCGCGCAAGTCTATTATTATTTCATTTGTTATTATCATTATTTATTATTATTTTTTTTATTATTATATTTTGTTATTATTATTATTATTACTATAATTATTATTATTATTATTATTGCAGAATGATGATCTACAACTGGCGCTCGAAATCTTCAAACAACGACAACATGAAATAAAGTCTCAGTCATATATCTTGGCTACAATATGAAGGGACTCTGATGCGATCGATTAGAGATTACAACGGCGCACACGCGTACCCAGCCATCACATTTTCATTCCAGCAAGCATAGACACACACAGACACTCACACACATGTATAAATATAGTTTTGCAAAGTGGTGTGCAAGAAAGAGAAAGAGAGGAGAGAGAGAAAGAGAGAAAGAGAGAGAGAGAAAGAGAGGAGAGAGGGTGTGTGTGTGTATGTGTGTGTATGTGTGTGTATGTATTTGTGTGTTGTGTGTGTGTGTGTGTGTGTGTGTGTGTGTGTGTGTGTGTGTGTGTAAGTATAGTATGAAAAGATTTGGAAAAATATCGCATAGAATTTATGAATATAGACGTCAAAAGGCGTGAAATAAAAACTTGCACACAAGCATGTTCTTGCAGTAGAGATGTAATATAGATGAGTGAAGGTGTTGCACATTAGTTAGATGTTCATATGAGTTTTGTGGAATGTTACATTTGTATGGTGTCACTTGAAGTTCATTTTACTGCTTTTGTATTGTTTCATGAAAAGTTGGCACCGACGGAGTGTGTATGTAAGAGTGTTTGCGTGTGTGTATGTGTCAGTGTGTGCGTGTGTGTGTGTATGTGTCAGTGTGTGCGTGTGTGTGTGTGTATGTGTCAATGTGTGCGTGTGTGTGTGTGTATGTGTGTGCG